AATACTAGAAGTGCAGGTGAGTTGTTCTAATGATTGCTGTAACTTTATTATAGTGTGCTATAGCTATCTCTATAACATATTGTAGACAGTTTATTTAATTGATTAATAAATTCAATTTAATTTTATATTATTTATACAGGTTAAAGTACTTTTTAAAAAATGTAGAACTCTATAGCCAAAAATAAGTTCTAATTCTCATCCGTTTAAAAAAGTTAGTATAGTAATAACTTCTTAAAACTTAATAAAATTAAGTTATTACTAAGCTAATTTTTTTTAAATAGACAAGAATTATATCTTATTTTTGACTATGAAGTTCTACAGCTTTAATGAAATCTTTATATAGTTTTTTTTTGACTTTATTATAGTTAGTTTTTTTAAAAAGTATTTAAATCTGTATAAATGAGTGCTGCAGAATGAAAAGCTGAAAGTGAACATTTAAAGATTTCATTATAGCAAGTTTAGCCTCTGATGAATTGTAACATTACATATTGAAATCACTGTTCTGGTAATTTCGATAATGTGCATAATTTAAAAATCAGTTAATTAATAGAGCTGATGAGCCTAATTTGTATTTCTATATTAAAATAATATATACTATCGAAACTGATCATAAACATGATTAATTACGTAACATCAGAATTCATTAGAAGCTAAACTCACCATAATGAAATCTTTAAATATTCACTTCCAGCTTTTTGCTCTGCAGCACTCAAATAATATAAAAATTAAATTGAATTTATTAGTTAATCAGATAAACTGTCTATGATATTATAATTATTTCATAGTTACAAAGATAGCTATAGTAAAGCTACAGCAATTATTAGGACAATTCGTCTGTATATCTAGTTTGTACTAACCTAGAAGAATATAATAATTATAATATAATAATTAAATTTCATACTTTTATATTAAGGTTACGATTTATCAAAGTGTAACTCTGCAAATTCAAGCATTACAAAACAAACCCACCATTTACGATCTGCCAATTGCATCTGCTTTTGGAATTTTCTCTGCTCTCGTCCAAGACTCTTTTGAACCACATGAAGACAATACTATTTTTCATTTAAAAAAGAGGGTCTACAATAATATGAATGGAAAATGTATTAATTTGTCAGTTATATGCAAGTATAATCTGAAGGATTGCTATTTGTATGTAGCTAAAGCTACAAATCATCAAACTATTTTTTCTGTTGCAAATAAATTAGTTTTTGTCAAGAAATCAGTTTTTATTTTGTGTGAAACAATTGAATAGAATTATCTAATACAAGAAAATTCAAAATTGCAGTTGTGCAATGAGATAGAACATGTAAAAAAAAAAAAAAAGAAATGAGGAACTTATGAAAATAGCAGAAATTTTTGAATCCAAAAAACAACATCGACAAATTAAAGACAAATTCTATATAGAAGACATCTTCAATACTCAAAAAAACATCCCAAGAGTTGCAACTGGTTTAAAAAATATTAGAGGTAAAAATTTTATTAAAAATTTTATTATATAAAAAAATTTTAAAAATATATTGGCAGATTTGCTGAATTGTATTTATATGAGTATATAAAAATAATTTAAAGAGTAATTAACAATAATGATACAAAACTTTTGTATTGTTATTTTTAATTGTTCTTTAAATTATTTTTACGTACATATATGTAATAAAAAACTTACATTAAATAGCAATTATATATTTTTTAGTCTAAAATTTAAAGTACATTTACAAATCTAACCCAATTCTACAAATTCGCTAATATAAAAAAGCTTACTGGCTTATTATTATTATTATTATCAATTCTGAGGTATCAATTACCTGGGGACATCAAGTGACATCATTACTTACTGGCCTTTTTTATTATTATATCGTCTCGAATACCTAGAAGAAAACAAAAAAGCTTCTATAATTAAAGATTTTTCAAATGATAATAAAATTGATACTATAAACAAACAAAATAACTTATATGTAAATAAAGATTGTCACCAGGTAACTGATATCCATGAAAAACAAGACACTAAAGATCTTGAAGGCTTCAACAATTCTATCACTATTAGTTCTGATGGTTTTGATACAATTTAAAAAATTTTTACAATTAAAAGATTTAATACAAGAAACAATTCTAGTAATATCTCAAATCTATTAAACTTGTAGAATTATTAAGTATATACAGTAGATACAAAAATTGGTTGATTAATAATATTGTTATTATATATTCTTGTTGAAAATAATAAAGTTTTGATTTTACTTTAAATTTCTTTGTTTTGGAAGTGCTTTTTTTTTTATTATATTCATTTTAGCACATTATTATTTATAATACTTCTTTGGAGTATAACTATCTAAATCCAAATACTAATATTAAAACATTAAATACAAAGCTTTTAAAGCTTTGAATTCATACTTTATTAATTGGAAAACTTATAATTCTATAATCATAAAAAAAATCAAATACAATACAATACATATTGTTCATTCATATAGTTCAAGCAACGTGGCAGAACCAAGCTCTAATATAGTTAAAACAATTTGTCTTGATAAGAATTTATTTAGATCTAAACTCTAATTGATTATCTCCATTTTTTAACGAATCTAATTTTTTTGATCTGTGATGGCTCACAAAAATAATCTAACATGTGATCTTATCAGATGGTTTGAAACAAAAATTGCTTCAATATATAAAAATGTCTAATTAATCGAAAATTTTACTCTGTAACTTTTTTTATTATAGTATGTGAATTATTTATTGTAAAAATTGTTGAAAATAATAGCATATACATGAGGTAAACCAATTTTTTTGAATACTTACTAGTCATTGATTAATTCCTGCTAATATAATAGCTAAAAATATCTAATTAATAAAAATATTAAACTGTAACTTTTTTTTATAATACTATGCAAATCGTTTGCTACAAAAATTTATAAAAAAAAGTAGCTTGTCTACGAGATGAAGCAATTATATCGGAAGCCCCAATGTCATATGATTAATTAAATGATTTGAAACAAAAATTGCTTCAACATGTAAAAATGTCTAATTAATTGAAAATTTTACTCTGTAACTTTTTTTTGTTATACTATGCGAATTATTTATTGTAAAAATTGTCAAAAAAAATATCATGTATATGAGGTGACACAATTTTTTTGAATACTTACTAGTCTTTGAGTAATTCCTGCTAATGTAATAGCTAAAAATGCCCAATTGATAAAAAATATTAAACTGTAACTTTTTTTTATAATACTGTGCGAATCGTTTACTACAAAAATTTATAAAAAAAAGTAGCTTGTATTCGAAGTGAAGCGATTTTTTGGATACTAATATTTCGTTAATAAAAGTTTGCCGATCAATTTATGCACAAAATCTATCAGTATTATTACTATTATTGCATCTCACATGATTTGATTAATTAGTATATCGGAAGCCCCATTACGGCGTGCATGATTATTTCTTAGGTAACAAAGTGATGGCAGAAAAAATTCGCGATCACGTGATTGCCGGACATTTCCGACCTACAAGAGATACTCGTGATCGGAAGGAGAGATAAAGATAGATAATCGATAACCTTAATTTTAGTGCTAAGTGTGCTAAGTTTCTAGGAACTAATCAACTAGAAAGTATAAACTTGGGATTTTACCTTAAAGGAAGCTTGGAAGATGAAGAGCTACAAAGATA